AGGAGACAACTTCCTGAGTCCATCTTCTGGATGCTCACATAAAATTTAGGTTTAAATAAAGGGCAAGAGACGTACATAACTAAGCTTTCCTGGCCGAGGGGCGGCCCTCCCCCGTCATTGCCATCACTGTGTGGATTTCGCTCTCTCTGGTAGGACTGTCTGACGAGATGTATGCGAGCTCTTTCTGGATTCAAGCGTCTCCTTCAGCTGAGGTGAGGCTTTCGCTTTTTTAATTTCTTTTCTTTTCTCTCTCTCAGCACAAGCTTCTGGGGGAAATTCCAGTTGCTAGGGCTTCTCTTTCAATGGTTTTGATAACCAGAAGGCGGGTCACAGGCTTTCTTTAATAGTTTTTCATTTGTGCCAGGACAGCTATCTAGCTGCCCTGCGTGCTCTGTTCTACTATGTTGAGGGTTCGGGAGTCCCCGAGGCTCCAGGGTCTAATTTTCTTCCAGGTGTCTATGGGGATCTCTAAGCAAATGGACCATAGCCTTTTAAGAGACATTGTTAGGCTGGCATGGTGGCACACACTTTTAACCCAGCATTCAAGAGGCAGAGGCAGGTGGACCTCTGAGTTTGAGCCTAGCCTGGTCTACATAGCACGTTCCAGGACACCCAGGACTTTGTTGAGAGACTCCGTCTCAGAAAGAAAGAAAGAGAAAAAGACATTACTACGTAAGGTAAAGGCTGAGCCCCCTACATCTCATGAAATGAGGAAAACTGTGGCCTCTACATTTGTCCATTCTGGCCTTGGGCTCTGTTGTTTATAAGATGGGAACAAGAGAATTCTCTGGAGATTCTTTTATTATTATTATTATTATTATTATTATTATTATTATTATTATTATTATTTCAAGCCATGTTGTGACTTTTCTGTTAACATCAAAGAGTTGGTTGTCCAAACGTGTTTTAGATCCCAAATGCGCAGTCAAGAAAAGCCCACCAACATACTCAGAAGGATCCCAGAAGCTATCCCAAAGAATCTTGGTACAGTGGTGCACACTTACAAAAAATCCCATGCTTGGGAGTTAGAGATGGTACCAGGGGCTTCACAGTCTTCTTCACATTGAGTTTGAGACTAGCCTGGTTTCCATGAGGCCTCGTCTCAAAATAATAATAATAAATTTAAAAATAAAAGAGAAGTAGCTGTCAGGGAAAGAGGCAATTCAGCAGTGCCAGCCCCGTGTGAAGCCCGAGGTGGTCCTCCAGCTGGAGTCCAGGCCTTGACTTACGAGGCAGAAAATTGGTTCAAGCTGAGGCCACAGGAAGCAGAGAGTGCAGATCCACAGAGCAGAGTGCAGGCCTAAAGAAAAGGATACGTGTGGATTCCTTAGCAGTGACAGCATGAGCCAGGCTCCAGCATTGGCGTGCCCACGTGTGTCTATAAGCCCAGAAATGGTGGAAAGAAACAGATAGATCTTGAAAGCTCTGGCCTAGCCAAAATGGTAAGCTTTAGTTCAGTGACAGATCCTCTCTCGGAAGACTAAAGCAGAGAGAGCTAAGGAAGACATACAAGGTCCTACTTTGGCCTCTGCATGCAACACACACACACAATTAAAATGTAAAAAACCAGTAGTGGCATTTAGTTTATATTCGTCAAAGATTGTAATCTAGATATTTAAAGATTAAAGAATTCCTAGTGTACACAGGACACGGGATGATAAGGCCTGTTTTGCTCTTAAGCATGGCTGTTTTATTTTTTCTGCTTTACTAACCCTGTTTGTGATGCTTTGATCAAGTGTGTCAAAATTCTTGGTTCTTGGCCAATGAGAAATGTAACCTAGATGCAAAAGGGTGAGGGGCTCTTGTCCCCCTAATTTTTCGCCTTCCTATCTCATGTTCAGGTAATTGTAACACATACAATGTTTGGTGAAATAAAGTGTTGCCTGATCCTAGGAATGCAAACAAAAGCCAATTAACACCTTTAAACTACAATCGTCATTTTTGGTTCTTATATATTTTTTAAACATTTATTTATTTATTATTCATACAGTATTCTGCCTGCATGTGTACCTACATGCCAGAAGAGGGCACCAGATCCCGTTATAGATGGTTGTGAGCCACCATGTGGTTGCCGGGAATTGAACTCAGAACCTCTGGAAGAGAATAACCTCTGAGCCATCTCTCCTTACTTCTGATAGGGTGGGAGGCAGACCCCTACCATGGGTCTGAGTTTGCACCAAGAGGCCTGGGCTGTTTCTCATACAGAGGCTCTAGTCTTCAGGGCGATTCTAGACGGGAGAATGTCCCATGCCTGCACAGGCTGCCGGCTGCCACCAGCTGCGCCTGAGACGCTGCCTCCTGCTGGCTCCCCTTGCACACTGCCATCATCCTACCCTCCTTGCTCTTCCAGATTCACACACCCACCACCCAGGGCTCTGATGCTTCTCTCGTGATCAGTGTTCGCCCAGACATCTGCCTTTCTCCTCGGCACATCAGTCTATTGTCTTCCCAGTTGCAAAGCAGAGGCGCCTTCCTGCTCTCCAACCCGCTTTCCCTACCCCCTCCCTCCCTTCCTCCATTCTCTCATCCCCCCCTTATTTCATAGCTGCAGAGTGTTGACATATTTTATACTAACATCAAACATCCAATTCCTCTCTCTGGAAGAGAAGGCCTTTGAGCTAGGCTGTTGGCTCTCCCGCTACCTCGCTGGCAAATGGGGCCTTCAAGGTAGTCATCAACACGGGCTGAGTGGGTCTCTTTCCTAGGCGGACAGAGGAAAAGGAGAAACGGCAGTTTCCCCACAGGAGCATGAAGCTTTGGAAGGCGTTGGCTACTCATTGCCTGTAGAACCAGAGACAGGGTGAGGTTTACAGCGTGTCGTCTAGAATTAGTGGCCAGGTGGGCTCTGGTTGGACCGTGGTTTACAGGTGAAGCAGATCCGTGGAGGATGCTGGGACAGCAGCCTGGAATGCTACTTACCGCCTTTTCTTTCACTGACTTTTGATGCCTCAGTCACTGTGCCAGATGGAATCCTAGAGCTACCTACCATCGCTGTGCGACGTCTGAGCGGACCAGGAAGGGACTTTGAGATCTGTCCCACCAGAGGGATCTCTTATACTTGGAAAAGAAGGACTCGCTGTAAGGGACCTGAGGACAGGTTGGGGGCGGGAGGGGGGGGGAGTGTGTGCTCATGACTCTACATAGCAGTAGAATGAAACTGTGGCATGTTAGGTACACTTCTGTCCCAAAGGTTCTGGATAGGTCGTATGAGAAATACAAGAGCATTCTTCTGGGGTTTGGTATCGGACTGTATAATGTGCCCCTAATAACAGAAAGGAGAGCTAGATGACAGCGCAAGGAAAGAGGCTAGAGGGAGCGCTTGGGAGAGAGAGAGACGCAGGGGCAAGGGGGAGAAGAGTCAAAAGGGGTGTGTCTAGGGAAAGGGAAAGAATATAAAGAAAGAACCTTAGAGCAGGAAGTACAGGGGACCATGAAGACCTAAGCAGAACCGAGGAGAAGCAGACAGTGCAATGACATAAAACAACGGCAGTGGAGCCAACGTGCTGTCACCAGGGCTTATCTTGAGCTTGGAAAAGGAGAGGAGGGAGGGGTGAAATGCTGGCTGCCATCTGGCTCTATTCCTGGGATCTGTTATCTCTGGGAACCCTGCCCTATTTCCGGCTCATCGAGGCAGGACTCCCTTGCTATCTGGGGTGAGTTCTCAATCCCAGATGGTGAGCCTGTAAGGGAAGGGGCGGATGCTCTGAATGCCTGACTGCAGGTCACTCAGGGCTGATCCTCTCTGCTGGGGTGCATGACTCAGGGGTATCATCAGGCTGGTCTAACAGGGACTCAAGGACTAGGGCTCAGGGGTCAGCTTAGGGACTTCAGTGAAGAGGAAATCGATGTTGGAGCATCGCTTACTGGAGTGTTTTGGACCCCAGGAGAGGGGCCAGTTCACTCTGGTCTATAACCACAGTTCCTAGAGGTCCTGAGGGCCCAGAGCCCAGAACTACTTCACATGCCCATTGGACTGACTGTTTCTGGAAGCAGAGATGAGGAACCCACAGATTTAGTGTCCACTTGTAGCCCCAAGTTACCCTTCTCAGAAAGAAAAGGCTTGAGAAGGGTCTGGACCGAGGATGGACAGATTGAGGACAGACAACCCAGGCACAGCAAAATATCAGTCACAGCAGACTCTGTGACTGACAGGTGTTCACTCTATAATTTTTATTTGTTTGTTTTCTTCTTTGTTTATTTATTTATGTATTTTGGGTTTTTTGAGACAGGGTTTTTCTTCGTAGCTCTGGCTGTCCTGGAACTTGCTCTGTAGACTAGGCTGGCCTCAAACTCAAGAGCTCTGCCTGCCTCTGCCTCTGCCTCTGCCTCTTAAGTACTGGGGTTAAAGGCCTGCACCACCACTGCCCAGCCTAACTTTTAAAAAAACTTTGATTAGATTTTTTTTTTTTTCATAATAAAATGTCAACAAATACAGAAAATTTGTCAGGCAAATATTTGGTTCTGCTCAGTGCTGAAAGTGATTTTGTATTCTAGAAGAAGGTATATTACAAATGACTGCAGAGGGTAACAGTCACCCGACAGAAGGCAGGTCTCAGGCCAGAATACTCACAGATCATTTATGGTAGGGAGCACCGTCCTCCAGGCCTCTTGGGTTGCATTCTCATTTGCTCATTTGTGTTTTCAGACAGGGTCTCATACTATAGCGCAGACTGGCCTTGAACTCATGATATCCCTCCTCAGTCCCCTTCCTCCTGCCCAAATGTTGACATTACAGACATGAGCCACCATGTCTGGATTAACCATTCTCTTTAGATACCAACTGCTTTCCCCACCCTTCAGCTGGACTTTCAGCAAATTTATTCTGTCTCTTCACAAATCTGGCACGGTCTAGAGTGGGGCCCACCTTGCTACCTGTGACCCCTGTGGGAGAGACAGGATAAGATGTTCCAAACTCGGTTTGACACTTGACCCTAAGAAATTAGTCATGTTTGCTCAGCAGGTGAGGCTCATGCAGGAAAGAACAGTGGGAGGGCTTGCACCTGCTATAAAAGGTCTGGGAATTTCTGGAAGCTTTGCATCTGAGGCTGCTAGGGGAAAAGGTGAGTTGGGGGATATTCAAACATGAGCTAGAGAAGACAATGCCTAGGCTGTATCAAGGAAGACCTGGGGAGCAGCTCTCGGATGAGGGCAATTTTGGGGTTGCAAAGAGGTCTGGTTTCAGCTAAGGGATACTCAGCCAGGATGGATACGGACAGGCTTGGCTGGTGGAGGCAGGGTTATGATACACAGACGGGTTGCTGGGGTCTGATGTCACGCTGGGACATTGGCATTGGTACAGTGTCCTCCACTACCTCCTTCGTTCCTGAGATGACAGAGAGACCTACCTCTAAAATCTTCTTTGCCTTGATTTAAGAGTAGAATGGTGCTCGAGACTTAACTCAGATACCTCATGAACCTCACAAAGCTAATTTCAGGCAGGCTTTGCCCAGACTCTTGGGTTGGTCAACTCAGCTGCCTCAGTACTTTAGAGGTAGCCTTTACTTCCTCTTCAGAAAGCTCTCTCATGCTTTGTGCCCGGATGGAGGGAGGCCTAGCAGAACACAGATGGAAAGTTAGAGTTATCTTTTGGATTGGGAGAGAAAAGTAGCTACAGTCAGATCTCAGGGAGAACGAGAGGGGTTAGGGGCTCAGAAAATGATACTTGGAAGGAACAGGACAGTGGGCAGTTTTCTCTAGGCTCTAGGGGGGGGCTAGGTCTCCCGGATCTGAATCGAAGGATCAAAAGGCACCAGTCTGTATTCCAGGCCAGAGATACCTGGGCAAATGAAGTCCAGAAAGAAAAGAATGAGCCTCCTTTTTTCTGCTTTTTCCCACCGCAGCGTCAGGATGTTGACCATCGCTCTCCTCGTCCTTCTCTGTGCCTCCGCCTCCGCCAATTCCAGTAAGTGAACTGCCCTGGACCTTGTAATGGGATCGTGGGGAGGGACCCCGTGAGCTGCCAGCTGGTCAGCATCGACCGAACCTGGCTTGGGGTGGTGGGAGGAAGGAGGGTAATGGAGAACAGCCGTGCTCCCTCCGGGCCTTTCTTTCCCGTCTAGTTCAGTCCAGGTCCTCCTCTTACAGCGGGGAATACGGAGGGAAAGGAGGAAAGCGATTCTCTCATTCTGGCAACCAGCTGGACGGCCCCATCACTGCCTTCCGCGTCCGAGTCAACAGATACAACATAGTAGGGTAAGGGCCTTCGTGTTCGGGTCTGTCTAGGTCCTTGCTAAGTTGGGAAGCTCCCGTTCACTCTGGATCACAGCCGTTTAAGTCAGTAAGCCACAGAGAAGGACTGCGGGAGCTGGGAGCGTGCTAGGCCAGCTCCCTTGACGCACATGACCTTGGCAAGTCCTAACCACAAACTCCCAGGAACCTCACACTCCCTGGACTGGATCTCACCTAAACCTCTTTCCATGCTTCTGTCCGGCAATCCTTATCTTAGCTTGCCGTCTGTCCCGGGATAGTCCCATCCCTCCCTCCAGCTGGAAACTTCCATGAGATGCAGAGCCAAATGCATTTCCTTCTGGTCCTCCGAGTTCCGGACCCTGAGACAGCGCTGGCTCGTCTCTTCCCTGTCTCGCCTGGATGCTTTCCGGTGTTTGAAAATCCTCGGGTCTCTTTGAAGTGGGTTGTGGGTGAGCTCAGCCGCTTGCTGTCCCCAAGCCTATTTGCCAGCAAAATGAGGGGCTGAGAATCTCCACACGGTCGCCTAGGGTTCAGGCAGCCCTCGTGTCTGGTGGAATTTGTCACCAGTTTGAAGGCCTCAGCATGTAGACTGAGAAGCCTTGATTTTAGAAGTTCTTTTTAAACGTTTATTTATCTTGTGGTGGTGTGTGCATGTGTGGGTGCTCAAGCGGCCCCGCCGCGCATGTGTAGGCCAGGGGACAACTTCTAGGAATGGGTTCTTTTCCTCCACCACGTGGGTCCGTGGAGCTGACTCAGGTTGTCAGGCAGCAGGCATCGCTGCCGGCTGCGCCATCCTGTAGCCCGGTCTCGAACCGCGGCAACCGTGTTCACTGTGCCCTTCTTCCCTTCTCGCCGCCGGCCCCAGCCTCCAGGTGCGCTATGGCAAAGTGTGGAGCGACTATGCAGGAGGCAAACAGGGAGACCTGGAGGAGATCTTCCTGCACCCCGGGGAGTCCGTGATCCAGGTGTCTGGCAAGTACAACCGCTTGGTGAAGCAGCTGATCTTCGTGACAGACAAGGGCCGCTACCTGCCTTTTGGAAAAAACTCGGGCACAAGTTTCAACGCTGTCCCCTTGCACCCCAACACCGTCCTCCGTTTCATTAGCGGCCGGTCTGGCTCTGCCATCGATGCCATTAGCCTGCACTGGGATACCTACCCGAGCCACTGCAACACTTGCTGAGGCACACCTTCCTCTCTGACAGGGAGGCCATGGTGGGCGTGAGAAACTCCCTTAGCACCGGGCCCCATGCAAACACACAGAGCTTAATAAAAGGATGTGACTAAAGACAGTGTTTGTCCACAGCCTAACTCTAGTAGAAATGTGTGAATCTTGTCTCTGGCTTTTTACATTTTTAAGTTTAAAACAATCTGGGGGCGGGGGTGGGGGTGGGGAGGAGCTGGAGAGATAGCCAAGAAGTTAGGAGCACTGGCTGCTCTTAACTGACTCTGGAGTTCGGTTCCCAGCACACTCATAACCGTCTATAATGAGATCTGGTGCCCTCTCCTGGTGTGCATGTGGTCAGAACCCGATATACCTAATAAATAAATAAATAAATAAATAAATAAATAAATAAATAAAAAAATAAATAAATAAATAAATAAATAAATGAATGAATAAATAAATGCATCGTTTTTTAAAGTTTTAAAATATATGTAAAAAAAAATTGGGTTGGGGTTGGGGGAGAGACAGGGTTTTTCTGTGTAGCCCTGGCTGTCCTGAAACTCACCATGTAGACCAGGCTGGCCTCAAACGTCCGGAGATCAGCCTGTCTCTGCCTCTGGGGTGCTGGGATTAAAGGTGTGTGCCACCACACCTGGCTATATCTGGCTGCTGTTGGACATTAATCTGAGGAAATGAGAGGGTGAGGGAGAGAAGTGCTGGGTACTTTTCTTTCATTTTCTTTCTTTTTTTTTTTTTTCTTTTTCTTTTTGAGACAGAGTTTTTCTGTGTAGCCTTGGGTGTCCTGCAGCTCACTCTGTAGACCAGGCTGGTCTCTGACTCCCAAGTGCTGGGATTAAAGGTGTGTACCACTAACAACCACCTACCAGGGCTTTTTGTCATATGTTATCGAAAAGAGACAATAGTGTCCTGCACCATCTCATTCCCAGGACCGCCCGGGATAATTTTTCCTAAGAGTTCATAGGTTAGGGTAAGGTTCAGTTGTACCAACTTGTCAAAACACACTCTCTAGCTCTCCTCTATGCTATGCCTCACCTTGGGATTCTGATTTCCTGCCCTAAAATGTCACCTTACTCTACTGACATTAAGCCACTTGCTGTTCAAGGTGAGGCCATTATCCTCTCTTCTTTCCAGAATCCACTTAACTCTAAAGTGTAGCCTAAGGGCTTGACTCTGTCACCCTAGCCCAGTTCCTCCTAAGGTTACTCTCAGGCCCAGGTGTCCTTAACTTAGCTGTCTCAGAACTGGGACTCTTTCCTCAGGAAGCTAACACATTCCCAGGAGTGTGAACTTGGGCTGGCATGGTGGCACACAGCGTTGATCCCAGCACTCAGGGAGGCAGAGGCAGGCAGATCACTGTGAGTTCGAGGCCAACCTGGTCTACAAAGTGCGACCCTAAGTAAAAGGCTTAAGGAGGCAGAAAGATTGCCACGAGTTGAAGGCCAGCCTGGGGAGCATGTTGAATTCCAGAGTAGTCTTGGATACAGTGAGACCCTGACCCAGACACCTAAATACATGAATAAATAGGTAGATGGGTAACTCCAAAGAGGGGAGATTTTCTTTGTGGGTAGTTATGAATATAAGAAGTTGTTGAGACGGGGGCTGGAGAGATGGCTGAGGTTAAGAGCACTGCTTGCTCTTCCAGAGGTCCTGAGTTCAATTCCCAGGAACCATATGGTGTCTCACAGCCATCTATAATGAGATCTGGTGCCCTCTTCTGGTGTGCAGGTGTACATGCAGACAGAACATTGTATGCATGATAAATAAATAAATCTTAAAAAAAAAAAAAAGAGGTTGGTGAGACCAAGGGTCTCTAGATAGACTCAGCAAAGATACAAAGTCACTTTGTAAATCATTATTAGGATCTCAGTTTCAAGTCCTAGAATACCAACAGTTTTAGTGGGCAGAGGTAGGGAGCTTCTGACACCTAGGGTTACAGAAGTGTGGGACCACACCCCATCTATATGATGCTACGGGAACACTGTATCAACTGAGCTGCATCCCTGTGTCCTTTCTCTCAAACACTTACATGAAAGAGATTGTGCCATTTTTTATTTATATGTAAGTCACATAGCATAATATTCATTCCTTTAAAATACACAGATGGGGTAGGGCTATAGTCTATGGTGTGTGCATGTATAATGAGTGTATGTATATATGTGAGAGAGAGAGAGAGAGAGAGAGAGAGAGAGAGCGATGAGTGTGCGTGCTCACCTGTGCAGAGGCCAGATGTCCATGTCAGGGATCTGCTGTTGCTCTCTACCTTTTTGAATGTTTTTCTTTCCTTTTCCTTCTTTTTCTTTGCTCCTTTCTTCGTGTGTGTGTGTGTGTGTGTGTGTGTGTATTCTATATGTACAGGTACACACAGCTGTGTCCATGTGTGCATGGAAAGATCAGAGTCGCCGTTGTATCCTCCATCATCGGCCACCTTCCCCTCAGGCTCACCGTTTCGGCTAGGCCGGCTGCCCAGAGACCTCCCAGGGTCCACCTGTCTGGTCCCCAGTGCTGGATTATAGGCATTTGAATAGCCGTGACCGGCTCTGATGGGGTACTGGGGATTTGACTGCAATCCCCTTGCTTTCACAGCCAGTGTTCTTACTCACCCTCTCTTTAGCCCCCATTGTTAGATTTTTGCAAAACAACAACAAAACAAAAAAAAAAAACAAAAACAAACAAACACAAAACACCATGCATTTGAGGACATTTTTCATTTACTAAATAAAAAGTTTTGGGCACTGGGGAGATGATTCAGCAGGCCAAATTGAAGAGGACCTGGGTTCAAGTCCCTGTGCCTAAATGGGAGTTCACAATTTTCCTTATTCCCGCTTCATGAGATCTGATACTCTCTTCTGGCACACATGTAATATCCATATAGACATGCCGGCAAAACATTCATACACGTAAAATAAGCAATACTTAGCAAGCCTTTAACCCCAGCGCTGGAGAGACAGACTCAGGCAAACCTCTGTGAGTTTGAGGCCAGGCTGGTCTCCATAGTGAGTTCCAGGACAGCCAGAGCTACATAGAGAAACCCTGCCTTGAGAGAGAGAGAATTAGTTTTTTTTTTTTTTTTTTTTTGAGGAGGGGGGTAGCTTTGGTTTTGATTCCCAGCACTACAGAAAGCAGGGTCTAGCCCCTCATCACTTTATTCTTGATCTCCAGCTAGGCTCTCTGCCGTCTACTCCATCAAACTTACATCTTTTTTAAAAATTATTATTTATCATATATCATACAATGTTCTGCCTGCATGTACACCTGCATGCCAGAAGAGGGCACCAGATCTCATTACAGGTGGTTATGAGCCACCATGTGGTTGCTGGGAATTGAACTCGGGACCTCCGGAAGAGCAGCCAGCGCTCTTAACCTCTGAGCCATCTCTCTAGAACCAAACTTACACCTTAATTCTGAGAAAAAGTAGCCTGTGGACAAGGTAAACGGGCTGGTAGATGATAGGTACTTCAGAAAAGACCTGCTGGCTAGCAAAGTTGAGGCTGCTGTACCCAAGATGGCAGTGGTTGTGCTGTGGTTGAGCCATTGCAAAAGGGCAAGCACCACCCATGCTGACTGGCCCCAAGGTGTGCTACAAAGTCGTGGTGGACCGGGACCATCACATCCGCATGTTCTCAGTTATCGCTGTGGAAATCTGCCGAATGTTGATATTTTCTAAGACAAGCTTGAAATGTTCCCTTTAAGGACAAGTACAACCATCTCTGTATAGAGTTAATGAGACAGCTCTGGAGGCCTCCTGTAAGCTCATATATTTGAATGCTGGGTTGCAAGGGAATGGCACTATTTGAAAGGTTTAGAAGGATTAAGAGGTATGGCCTTGTTGGAGGAAGTGTGTCACTGGGGGTGGGCTTTGAGGTTTCCAAAGCCTATGCCAACGCCCCTCTCTGTCTATAGATCAGGATGTAGTTTTCAGCTACTGCTCCAGTGTCTGCCTGCAGGCTCCCATGCTTCCTGCCATGGTGATAACAGACTGAACCTCTGAAACTGTAAGCAAGGCCCCAATCAAATGCTTTCTCTTATTATAGTTGCCTTGGTCATGGTGTTTCTTCGCAGCAATAGAAGAGTGACTAAGACGTTGGTTCTGGGGGAGCTGTGGCCAGTGAGCTTAGGGCCATAACTTCACTGTGTTTTGCATGAATTCTATTGGGTGTTGATACTGGAAAAGGTTCTGCAGAACAATTTAAGGGTTTAGGCAACCGTATAATAAAAAAAATCAGCAAAACCAGATGGAATTGTTGAATTATAAAGATTAGGTTTAGTGTTTCAGTTCAGTGCACCAGTGTTCATTAAGCCTCTTATCTTTGAATTGAAGTGCCAAGGACAGTGGGCAGATCCCACGCCTTTAATCCCAGCACTCAGGAGGCAGAGGCAGGAAGATAGCTCTGGGGGTTTGAGGCCATCCTGATCTTCATAGTGAGTTCCAAGAGGCAGGTGGATCTATGATTCGAGGCCATCTTGGTCCACAAAGCCCAGGACAACCAGGGCTACACAGAGAAACCCTGTCTTGAAAAACAGAAACAAAAAGCTGCGCCTGGGAAGTGGGGGAGGGTTAGTGGGATCGCCTCACTTTTGATGCCAGCCTGGTCCACACAGAAAGTGCCAGTGTATCCAGCAAGACTGTATCTCAAACAAAAATGCAAGTGCTCCTTTATGAGTCCAAGAGTGTGTTGTTACTGTTGTCACCAACACTATTCTGTGTTACAGGGCTCTCGTTTCCCTCCCTTCAAAAGGAAGCTTTGCTTACATGGTTCGCCATCTGTCCGTTCCTCAGCCAACCCCTCCTTTAGCCTCTGAGGATCATCCTGAAAGATCCCCGGAGGGTATCTTTCGTCTGAGAGACCCCCTCCCAAGGAACAACGAGGCCATTCAGATGTAAACAGCAAGAGGCTTTTATTTGATACACGGGTACCCGGGGCAGCAAGGTCATTCGGATGACTTTGCGCGCCCCCTAGGTGGGAAGCTGGGGTTTTTATAGGGTTTTAGAGCAGAAGCGTGGGTATAGAAGCGAGAAGCATGGTTACAGGGGGCTGATTGGTACGTTTACATGAGACCACGGTTTGCGTCAAAGTTTGGCAGGGACACCAAGATTCCAGGAACTGGGTGGTCGAAACAGTCATGATGACCCCCTGACGTGGCTGCCACCTGTTGTTTTTTTTAGGACCCTTATCTTAACTGGAACAGTCTCACAGATATCCATGAGGGTGATTAACACAAATTGTTTTTAGCTCAACTGGGGCAGCCTGACCGCAGATATCCCAAGTGGATGACACAGCTGAGTGTTTCTTAGTAATTTTCCAGTTCCCCACCTAGTCTACAAAGTTTCTCATAGCTATGTTTAACTTGGGGTGAGGCGGGGGTCTTTCAATCCTATTTTCTACTCCCATGAGTTCAACATTTTTAGATTCCATATGTAAGTGAAATGATGTACTTTTTGCCCTTTTTTTTTTTTTTTTTTTTGAGTGGAAGAGGGCTCTGGCTTATTTCATTTAGCACAATCTCCAGGTTCATGTATGTTGTTACTAATGACTGGATTTAGGATTAAAGCAACAATAGATTAATGAAGTATTAGTGTAAAAATAATAAAGTTCCAGGGATGAAAAACTATGTAAAGTGAAAAGAAAGCTGTAGTAGAACCTGAGTGTATCAATACTTGCTGTTTGGTTCCAATAAGAAGATAATGGAGAGCTGGAGAGAAGGCTTAGGGGTTAAGAGCACTGGCTGCTCTTCCAAAGGCACGGAGTTCAATTCCCAGCACCCACAGGGTGGCTCATAACCTTTTATAATGAGATCTGGTGCCCTCTTCTGGCCTGCAGGTGTACATGCAGGCACAGCACTGTATACATAATTAAAAAAAAAAAAGATAATGGAGGGGTTAAGGAAGTAATGGACACAAGAATGATGCGCTGAACAGGAAGAGAGTGGCTAATACCAAGAAGTCCAAAACAGGAACAGTGCTCTCCACCCTTAGCAACCAGAAGGGTTGCATTTAGACAAAGTTTCTGGGAATTGGGAAAAGCTGAAGCTAAGATTTGGCTGATTTAGGAGTGACTGGGACGTGAGGAAACACTTTGGGACGTGAGGAAACACTTACAGCAGATGTTTTATCTAGAAGGCCAAACAAAAAGCCCTTGGGGGGGGGGTTGTTTGAGACAGGATTTCTCTATCTGGAACTCACTCTGTAAACCAGGCTGGCCATGAACTCACAGAGGTCCACCTGCTTCTGCCTTGGATGAAAGGCCTGTGCCAAGGGCAGTCAGCTGGGGACACTAGTTCTGGGTCCTTTGAGGGTTGGTCTGGTGCTATGCATTCTAATGCTTTGTTGTGTAAACAACCTGTTCAAGGTTAATTGGTTAATAAAGTCGCTGAAGCCTGTGACTGGTCAGAAGAGAGGTAGGTGGAGCTTAGGTTGGGGGGTTGGGGTTAGGGGAGATAGGGAACCTCAGAAAAATAGCTGCAGAGAAGCTCACCTTTGGAAGGCTTACTAGGACATTGCCAAGGAAAGTGGGCCCTGAGGCTACCCAGGAGTCATCAGACTGGCAAGAGATGAGCATGTTTGTAGGTTTTAAGGGTAGGAGGATTAGAGTATCTCAGAACCTGCCCAGCACGCTGTCTACAGCTTAACAATAAATCATAGTCTTTCTGTGTCAATCATTGGGGAACTAGCTGGTTAAAGAAAACTACCGCTGTCTTAATTCCCTGCATATATTGTTGGTAATAATCATCTTTCAGGGTCCCCTCCTCCTCTCATGAGTCCGTCTCTTTGTGTGGTTTGCTGTGTTGTGTATGTGCATTGCTTTCAGTAAAAATCTGGCTAAGCGGGCCTGGAGACAAGGCCAGAGACAAGGCTCTTACAAGTAGTAAGAGCACTGTTTGTTCTTCCACAGGTCCTAAGTTCAATTCCCAGCAACCACATGGTGGCTCACAACCATCTATAATGGGATCTGATACTCTTTATGTGGCATGCAGATAGGGTACTCATATACATAAAATAAATCTGAGGAAAAAAATCTGGCTGAGTGCTGAAAAAGAAAAAGTCAGTGATGGGACAATAAAAACATGAGCATGATGAAGCAGAAAGATGGAAGAAATATTTTTAATTTTTAAAATAACATGTATGATAGCTGGGTGTGGTGGTTCCTGCCTTTAATCCCAGCACTAGAGAGGCAGAAGCAGGGAGATCTCTGTAGGTTCGAGGCCAGCCTGGTCTACACAGTGAGTTCCAGGACAGCCAGGGCTACACAGAGAGACCCTGTCTCAAAAGCAAAAAATGTAATGGGCGTGGTGGCGCACACACCCAGCGGTCAGGGAGGCAGAGGCAAAGTGCTGTGAGTTGGAGGCCCATCTAGGGCTACATAAAGACACTCTGTCTCACAAAACCAAAACCTTACATTGTAATATCCCTTTGGCAAAGGGAACATAATCTCCAATCCCCCTCCCCCCGCATTTTTGTTGTTGTTTTTCCAAGACAGTGTTTCCCCTTGTAGCCTTGCTGTCCTGTGAACCATGCTGGCCTCTAACTCAAAAGAAATTCGCCTGCCTCTGTCTCCCCAGTGCTGGGATTAAGGGCATGAGCTACCACTGCCTGGCTTCTAAAGCCTAGCTTTATCAGAAGAAAAAAAAAAAAGAGAGAGAGAGATGATTAACTCAGGCTAAACTTCCATAAGCACGCGCACCACCACAGCCCAGCCGAGAAACCCTTTCTTGAAAACAAAAACAGAAATCAAGCACTGGGGAAGCAGAGACGGGCAGATCTTAGAGAGCTCAAGGCCAGCCTGGTCTACAGAGTGAGTTCAGTGTTGCTGGGTAGAGACCCAAAGACCACTCAGCAAGACCAAAATCCGAATTGAGAATCTGCGGGCGAATGCCTGGAAAAACACTCCTCACAGAGCGGCCGCAACTGCATTTTACAGGCAAAGAACACACACACACACACACACACACACACACACACACACACACACAAAACTGCATCCTGGTTGGCAGCTGCAGGTGCAGAGGAAAGTAAAGCAAGCAGTTCAACAGAAGCCAAAAACATGGAATTAGCTGAGGACATTTCATCCCAAATTTCCCACTGTAGAAAGAAGGCGGCGGCGGGTTTGGGGAGTGTTGTGTGTGCATGTGTGTGTGTGTTGTGTGTGTATCAAGTTCAGGTTAAGAGGAACCCTTGTCCTGTCACACCAGGCCTACAAAGAGAGATCCTGTCCGCCCCAAAAGGCAAAAAAAAATTAATTAAGAAAGAATCAATCGAGTGCTTTCAGATTCGTAGCTGATGAGGAAGAGCAGGGCGAAAGGTCCGCGTCTGCCCACCCAGCCTGGAAATTCAAAAGCCGAAAAACGCAGCGCCCCGACGCCCTCACCACTTAGCGACAGCGTCCAGGGCCAATCCCTGGGAACATTAGCCTTCGAGACCGGAAGCGGGTCCAAGAGGGCGGTACTATGGTGCGTTATGACGGCGGGCTTCCGGCGGTGCGGAGCCGTGATTGGTCGAACCTGAGAGGGAGGCGGGGCCCCGGCAATTCAAAAGAGAAACGGGCCCGAAGACGGGAGGAATATGGATGTCGGGACGAAGGCGAGGCCGCGGCGGCGGGACACGGCGGCGGCCAGCTCAGGTACGCGGCCCCGGAGGGCCGGGCATGTCTGTGTGAGGCTTGTGGAGTAGCGGTTGGCCCGGAGGGTCCTGGTGGTGCGGGGCGGGAGGGCGTGGGGCGCGGCCGGAGGGCGCGGGGTGGGCGCCGCGGGGCCCTGTTCTCTCTCTAACGGCGTCCACGGGGGTTGAGAGCCCTTCCCCGGGCTCCCCGGGAGACGAGGTGTCCGGGTGTCCAGAGATCTCGGGCCGGCTTGAAGGCTCCTCGCCGGCGTGCCTGAGATCCCACGGCGAAGGGAAATCGGAGACGGTGTCCCCTCCCTCTAGCCGTGGGATTGGATGCTGTTTTCACCCTGAAGAGGCTAAATTAGGAGATTCAGAATCTTTTTCCAAGAGGCTTTGCATAAGCGTGTCCTTCCTCTTTCTTTAGACCGAATTTTGGCCTTTGGGGAAACAGACTTTAAAGAGAACGTCTCGTCCCAGGCACAGCTCCAAGCATTTCGTGACGAACCATTTAATGTTTGTACAGAGATCTGAAGTGCTAATGTCCCGGGCTACATAGTGAGACCGTAGGACAAAAAACAAAGAGGCTGGAGCGATGACTTTCGGGTTAAGGGCGTTTGCTAGTCTTACTCTTGTTGTTACTGTTGTTTTTAGATACTTTATTTTATTTTATGAGTATGAGTGTGTTCACCTACATGTATGTATGTGCAACGTGAGGGCGCCTGGTATCTTTTGGGGTCATCAAGTTACCCCAGGACTGGAGTTATAGACGGTTGTGAACTGCCACATAGGTGCTGGGATTAGAAGTCGGAGTCTTTTGCCAAATCAGTAAGTGTTGTTAACTGCTGAGTCTACTCTGCAGCCCCACTTGTTGCTCATTGTTAGTTTAGTTTAGTTTAGTTTAGTTTAGTTTAGTTTAGTTTAGTTTAGTTTAGTTT